GAACCCGCGTCCCCTGCATCGGCAGGTGGACTCTCAACTGCTGCCCCACCAGGGAAGCCCTAACTTCTTGACCTTGAAGTGCACATTGGCCAGCTCTTTCCCCAAGCCAGCACAGCCCCAGATGGTTAAAAGACACCAGGCTGGAGAACACAAGAGCTGTAAAGTCAGAGCCAGCTGTCCCAAATGCCCTCATCTGCGGCCGGTTCCTGTGTGGCCAATGCACATGGGCTCCATGACTGGAGCTGCAGTTGAGTGTGTGCCTGCTGACCACGAGTGAGGTGCATGGCTATGATCAGATTCTCTGAGAGGTCTCTCACCCAGGAGAGGGTGCATGACCATGACGATGGATCTGATGTGAACCCCTCTCTGTGTCATGGCTGTGGAGGGTGGACAGTGTGTCCAGCCCTGTGAGCCCACCTCAGAGAAGCCACGGTTTATCACACGCCCCACTCACCACCTAAATGAACAGGAGTCCAGTGATGCAGGCAACACATTCACTTTACTCTTGTGTTTTGTTTCTTCGACTTTTTCTTGTGGACAACTTTGAACATACACAAAAGTAGGCAAATCAGTATAATGACCCTCATCCCAACGTACCCAACTTCAACAGTTATCAGCTCATAGCTGGTCTCATAATATTATCCCACTTCCACCTTCCCCACTTTCATATTTTTTTCAAATCTTTTATAGACCAGCACACGTACTGAAAAGTGCTTGTGTACTAAGTGTGTGGCAGGGTCTGTTTCACATGGTGAGTTCACCTGGTAATGATTCTAGTACCCAATTCCAACATGTGTGTGTGTGTGTGTGTGTGTGTGTGTGTGTGTGTGTGGTGGCAGATGTTTGCTACACCACCAAGCAACTCTTCCACACCAGCTGGGTGCCTACAATTCAGCTCAGTCCTGACACTGTCTACCTGGAGATAGTTAAGGGCTCTGTCCCATGAGATGGCCTCCACTTGAGATGCCAATGGCAAGCCTAGGTTCTTACCTGTACCTCTGACCAACAGACTATAAATCAGAGGTTCCCACAACCCTCTCCTTGGGTTTGATTAATTTGCTAAAGCAGCTAACCGAGCTCAGGGAACCAGTTTATTATAACTCATAGAAGGAGTTAGGAAGTGTTCTTTCTCCTGAATTTTTTGGATAAGTTGGAGAAGGATTGGTGTTAGTTCTTCACTAAATGTCTGGTAGGATTCACCAGTGAAGCCATCAATTGGGCACAGAGGTTTTTCTGTAGAGGGGTTTTTGATTACTGATCTAATCACCTTACTAGTTATGAATCTATTCAGATTCTCTGTTCTTTGTGACTCAGTCTTGGGAGGGTTTGTAGTTCTAGGACTTTGTCCATGTTATCTAGTTGTCCAATTTGTTAGAGAACAATTATTTATAGTACTCTCTATAATCCTTTTTTTTTTTTTTTTTTTTTTTTGCCCCATGTTCACTTCTGATTTTAATAATTTGTCTTCCCTTTTTTTTCTTAGTCAGTCTAGCTAACAGCTTGTCAGCTTTGTTAATTTTTCCAGAAAACCAACTTTGGGTTTTGTTGATTTTCTCTGTTTTTCTATTCTCTACTTTGTCTTTGCTCTAATCTTTATTATTAACTTCCTTCTTCTAGCTTTGGGTTTAGTTTGTTCTTCCCTTTCTAGTTTCCTTAGTTGCATGAGGTTAGGTTATTTGTTTGAGATTACTGTAGTGTGTTTATGGCTATAATGTTCCCCTTAGCACTGCTTTGTTGTTTCTCATAAGTTTGTGTTTCCTTTTCCTTCATCTCTAAATATTTTCTAATTCCTTTTGTGTTTTCTTCTTTGACACAAAGTTTCTTTAAGGTGTGTTTAATTTCCACAAATTTGTGAATTTTCCATTTTTCCTTCTCTTGCTGATTTCTAACTTTATCTCATTGTGCTTGGAGAAGATACTTTGTATGATATCTTGTAAAATCTACTGAGACTTAATTGTGGCCTAACACATGGTCTGTCCTGGAGAAGGCCTCATGTGACCTTGAGAAGAATGTGTGTTCTGTTGGTGTGTGTGTCTGTTAGACCTAACTGGTTGATTGTGTTTTTCAAATTCCCTACCTCCTCACTCATCTTGTCTAGTTGTTCTATCCATCATTGAGAGTGAGGTATTGAGGGTTCCAACTATTATGTAGAACTATGTCTCCCCTCAGTTGTGTCTGCTTTTGCTTCATGTGTTTTGATGGTGTCATTAGGTGTGTAAATGTTTATGATTTTATCTTCTTGCTGTATTGAACCTCTTATTAACATATAATGTCCTTCTTTGTCCCTTGTAACATTTTCTGATTTAAAGTCTATTTTGTCTGATATTAGTACAGCCACCCCTGCTCTCTTTTGGTTACTATTTGCATGGACTATCTTCTTCTATCCTTTTGAGTTCAACTTTTCTCCATTTTTTGGATCTAAAGTGAGTCTCTTATAGGTAGCAAATAGTTGCATTATATGTTTTTATCCATTCTGTCAATCTTTCACCTGAAGAGTTTAACCCATTTACATTTAAAGTAATGACTGATAAGGAAAGAGTTACCTCTGTCATTTTGCTTTTTGTTTTCTATATGCTTTATGACTTTTTTGTCCCTCATTTCCTTCATGACCATCTTCTTTTACATTTAGTTGATTTTTTGTAGTGAAACATTTTAATTCCCTTCTCATTTCCTTTTGTGGATATTCTATATCTATTTTCTTTGTGGTTACCATGAGATTACAAATAATATCCTAAAGTTATAACACTCTAATGCCAACTTAAACCAGCTTAATTTCTTTAAAAAAATTTTTTTTACATCTTTATTGGAGTATAATTGCTTTATAATGGTGTGTTAGTTTCTGCTTTATAACAAAGTGAATCAGTTATACATATACATATGTTCCCATATCTTTTCCCTCTTGTGTCTCCCTCCCTCCCACCCTCCCTATCCCACCCCTCCATATGGTCACAAAGCACCGAGCTGATCTCCCTGTGCTATGCGGCTGCTTCCCACTAGCTATCTACCTTACGTTTGGTAGCGTATATATGTCCATGCCTCTCTCTCGCTTTGTCACAGCTTACCCTTCCTTCTCCCCATATCCTCAAGTCCATTCTCTAGTAGGTCTGTGTCTTTATTCCTGTCTTACCCCTAGGTTCTTCATGACATTTTTTTTCTTAAATTCCATATATATGTGTTAGCATACGGTATTTGTCTTTCTCTTTCTGACTTACTTCACTCTGTATGACAGACTCTAGTTCTATCCACCTCATTACAAATAGCTCAATTTCATTTCTTTTTATGATGCCTCTCTCTCGCTTTGTCACAGCTTACCCTTCCTTCTCCCCATATCCTCAAGTCCATTCTCTAGTAGGTCTGTGTCTTTATTCCTGTCTTACCCCTAGGTTCTTCATGACATTTTTTTTCTTAAATTCCATATATATGTGTTAGCATACGGTATTTGTCTTTCTCTTTCTGACTTACTTCACTCTGTATGACAGACTCTAGTTTTATCCACCTCATTACAAATAGCTCAATTTCTAAACCAGCTTAATTTCAATAACATATAAAACCCCTGCTCATATACAGCTCTGACTCCACCCCCTTTCAGTTACTGATGTCATAAAATTGCATCTTTATGCACTGTGTGTCCAAAACCAGACTAATAATTGTGGAGGTTTTTTATTATAGATTAGTCTCTTAAATCAAATAGAAAACAAAAAGTTGAGCTACAATGGTACTAGGTTTTCTAATCACCCAACTATCTACTTTTACCAGAGATCTTTATTTCTTCATAAAACTTTGAGTTACTGTCCAGGGTCCTTCACTCAAACCTGAAGGACTCCCTGCTGCAGGCAGGTCTGGTAGTTAAGAACTCTCTCAACTCTCGATTAACTGGGAATGTCTTAATTTCTCCCTCATTTTCGAAGGCCAGTTTTGCTAGATATAAGATGATTGGTTGACAGCTTCTTTCCTTCAACACTTCAAATACATCAACCCATGCCATCTGGCCTCCGAGGGTCCTGATAAGACATCTGCTCATGATCTTCCTGGCAAATCTTCTCTCAGCTTCATAGACATTCATAATGTACCTTATCATGTCTTATGCAACAGAGCATTTTCCTATAGTATTGTGAAGTCAGTTAAGTTGTAACATTATTTTGAGACCAGAGTTTAAGGAAAAGGAATTGTCTATTTCAAGTGTAGACATTATGAGGTCTTTAAAATTATTACAGATTTTCAAACTAGAAATGAAAATGTCATGGAAGCATCCTACAGATTTTAAATTCTAACAAAGTGAATACCAATCTCTAATAATGCACATGAAGAAAAATCTCTTTGGGATCCTTTTTCCTAGTGTAAAGGAGTCTTGAACCCAAAAAGTGAGAAAACCACTGTGGTTTGTCCCCAGCTGTGACTGGTGTTACTTGCTCTGAACTCACAGGGCACCACTGTGATTAAATTCACAAAAGTACCTATATATGTCCCCAGCTGGGCCCAGGTTTTTTGTCCTTAGAGCCCAGGAAGCTGCTTTCAGTGACCTGATGGCCTTGGACCCACAGTTAGCTTGCTTTTTCCATGTTTTTATCATTTTGTTGATATTTTCCTTTTCTCTCTACTCTTTTTTTATTTTCCTCATTTTTCTTTTTTCTTTGCCTTTTTCTCATTTTTATTTTTGTCTTTTTTATCATTTTTCTTTTATTTAAAAATTTTTTCTTCTCAATTTTTAAATTTTTTCATTCTGCTTTCTTTTTTTCCTTTGTTCTTTTTCTCATTTTATCTTAAATTATTTTTTTAGTTAGTATTGCTAGTATTAATACTGTTAGCATTGTTAGTATCATTGGTATAGTTAGTATAACTGGTAAAGTTAATAGTTTATTAGCATAGTTAGTATCATTAGTATTAGTCATCACTGTTAGTATAGTTAGCATACTTAGCACTGTTAGTATAGTTAGCATTGTTAGTTAGCATAATTAGCATTGCTAGTTAGTGCTATCTGTCAGTGTAGTCAGCAGGTCACCATGATGCAGGGCCTCATGACCCTCTCTGCTGACAAGGAGGCTCATATTGACAACTACGAGATCCTCCACACCACTGATGAATGTAGGTTCGCCAAGGTGAAGTTGGCCTGGCACATTCTGACTGGGATGTGGCTGTCAAGGTCATTAAGAAAAGGTAGCAGAGCTCCTCCAGCCTCCAGGAACTTTTCCGGGAAGTGAACAGTATGAAGGCTTTGAATCACCCTAATATTGTAAAACTACTGGAGGTGATTGACACGCAGGAGACAATGTTCCTGGTGATGGAGTACCTCAGTCGGGGGGGACATGTCCAGCCATTTGGATGACCACGGCTGCATGACAGAGGCGGAGGGCTGAGGCCCATTCCAGCAGGTGGTCTCCACCCTGCAGCCCTGCCACCAGAGGGGCGTCATTTGCTGGGACCTGAAGCCAAGGAACCTCCTCTCTGATGCCGAGATAAACATCAAAATTATGGACTTTGGCCTTCAGCAATGAATGTAAAGAGAGTGGCAAACTTGATACCTTCTGCAGCAGCCCCGCTTACGCTGCCCTGGAACTCTTCCTGGGGCAGAGCTATGACGGACCTGCAATGGATGTATGGAGTCTGGGAATAGTTCTCTACTCCATGGTCACCAGATCCCTGCCTTTTGGGTGTTGGGACTTCTGGGAGCTGTGGCAGTGAATCCTAAAAGGGCAATACCCCATCCCACTGTATTTCTCCTCAGAGATAAAAAAAATCTCTTAAAAGATAAGGTGACCCTCAACCCCAGTGACAGAATCACCTTCAATGACCTAATGAGGCATCCATGGGTGAACATGGGGTAGGAGGAGTCACTCAGGCCATACTGTGAGCTGTCCTGTGATAAGGACTCTGGGCTTGAGGTGGGACCAGATCCAAGACTCAGGAGCAGGCAGGAGGCATGACAGTGTGAGCTCCGAGGAACCTGAGGCGGGAGGCTGCACCATCAGTGTGAGGCCCTCCCTTTCTGCCGACCTCAGCAGCCATGAAGTTGAGCCTTCACCAAGCCCTGAGGTGTCCACACAGAGTGAACCACTCCTCCCTACGTGGCTCTACCAGGAAGAAAGTGAGCAGCTGCAGGAGGACCAGAAGTCAGGGCAGAAGACCAGCAAGACTGCCAATACCCGACCAGCCTGGAGGCGAGGACCGTTACCCCCAGCCCAGCCCCCAGTGTGGCCCTGTGGCCTCCACCTCTACCAGCAGCACCAGCAGCAGGACTTGAGCCCCAGAGGGAACCTGCTGCCCTCCAGGTGTGTCCAACCTTGGAAATTCCTCCCATGCTGGGCAGCCTGAGAGTGTGTTCCCAGCCACTCCCTCTGGCCACAGCCAGGAACAGCAGTGGGTGGCTGGGAGAACGTGGAACTTTATTTTAAAACACCTATGTTGTAGGCTTCCCAGCAAGAAGCATCACCACAAAGTGAGCCCAGTGTAACACCCCATGGATGACTGAAGCAGGAAGGTCAGGCCATGCTCCCTGGGACCTGGGACCTGGGATCAAGAACCTCCACGGCCTTCAGAAGCATTGTATTCAAACACGTAGCCAGCTCAGAGGATGGTCTAGAGTGGCCTGGGAGACCAGAAGAGAGGCCACCCTGGTTGCAGGTCTGCCCCTTGACCCCCACTTGGGTGAAACTTCAGAGACTGGACTGTCATTCCTGGGCACTTCTCCCCTCTCCCACTCTTCTGTCTCCCATGTTGGTGGGGGAGGGTGATAGTTCTCATCAACTCTTTGGTTCTTCCAAGTCTTGTTATTAAGCTTGATGCTCCAGAAAGATGTATCACACTCTGTTTTGCATCCTCCCTGCACAGAATTGGGGTTGTGCATTTTCCAGTTTGAGATGCACATAGTCATGTAGTACTTGGAGTTACTCAGAACAACTAAATGGAAAAATGACCTAAGAGAATTAGCACGATGATTTCCAACAGCAACAATTGCTGCACTGCAGGGCAGAAATGCAGAAAGTGTGCATTACCTTCCTGCACTAACATTACCGAACATTTTCAGACGACCCGAGCAGAACTTTTGGTCCCAGGGCATGTGTGAATTATGACTGAGATGCCCATAATAGGATAACAAGGTCCTGTGAGCCAGCCTGTGTATGGTGTGGTCAGGTCCCTGTACAGCTGAGTTTCCTGACTCTCATGCAGGAGTCAGGCTCTCCCTTTCCCCTATAGGGTGGGGTCCTGATGCGTGGGTTTGACCACAGGGACCACAGGGTGGGTTTTGCTCTGAAGAGCAGGGGATCCATGAGCAGGGAGTGACATGGTCTCCTTCCACCGAACAAGATGCCTCTGGCTTCTGGTGCCCAGTGGGCTCTGGGTGGGAGAGAGCTTCAGGGTCGGTGTCGGAGCCCCACCGGCAATTTACCAGCAAAACTCATGAAAACACCCACCAGCCCATGATTTTCAACTGGTTCCTGAATTATGAATTGCTTAATGCAATTTGTCTTACGGACAATCTCTCATAAAACATGACCTTAGGGTAAAGAGTGGTCAGGTGGTAGGAGGGAACATTAGAAGGGGTGGGGCTGAGGCGTCCAGGTGGCTCCCAATAGCCTTGTCCATTTCCCAGAGCACTGACCTTTAGCTGGTCATGCGGCCGCCCACGACTATAGAGTTCCCACCTGCAGCGAGGCTGCTCATATGCCCAAACTCTCCCTCCAGGACAGGAAGGGAAGTGATTTGCACAACTTCTAGAATATGTCCTAGGAGAGAGAAGCAGGCCCTTTCTTCTTCTCTCTCTGTCCTGCCACTGGGAATGTGAGCTCTGAGGTTGGAGCTCAGTCCTGCCCATATGGACGAGGCAACTCCTCTGGGATGACACGGCGACAGGGAAAGGAGCTTCCTGGACCACCCCTGGACTGTCTGCCTCCAGACCCAGCATGAGGGATGCCAGCTTCCTTTTGCCACTCTGCCGTGGGCCCTTTGTTATAGCCGCGGAGACTTTTCCTAAGTAGGACAGCAGTCCTGGAGGGCACATTTCTTGTGGTTCCCTTGAGTCTGGCTGCTCCCAGGACCGCAGTTATCTGACGTTTCCAGCCCTCCCTTCCATGGGTGGCAGCCAAGCTCAGCTCCAGTCCACTGTCCTCTCTGGGCGTTTCTCTGGAAATCTAACGCTGGAAGACAGATGCTCCCGACTGAACAAGCCAGGAGCTGCTACATTCCAGGGGCATCAGCCCCACTCTCTCCCAGAGATGCAGCTGGTTTTGAAATATGCTTCCCTGACTCTATCCCTGTTGATATCTGCAGATTCTAGTCAAATAACCCAGGGAACAGGCCGTCTCATGTGTGATATAACTTGATTATTGCCGGAAAGATGAGTTTTGAACCAACAATCTCCCTGCTACGCTGACAAGTGTAAAAGCTTAATTTGAAAAACCAACCAAATTTCACTCACAGTGTGAAGGCAGAGACTGGGACTTGGTCAAGCTTGGCCCTGGGCCCTCAGTCTGAGGAAATGGAAAGTAAGGACCTCACAGGTGTCTGGTCCTGTCCACGTGATTTTTATACACCCTCCACCCTGATGCAGTCTGCGATTTTATGGGAAAAGGAATTCTAATACATATTAAATTATTAAACTTGACGATATTGTAAAAAGGCATACAGTTTATTTGTTCTTCAATTGTTTACTCTGTGTCTGCAAAGTGTCTCCTAGGCTGGTTTAAAATAGAATGTTTAGTAGAAAATTTGAGATTCACTAAGGCCAGCAGATCAGGAGACAACTGCCACTGAAAAGAGCATCTGTACTCACACTTCCGGGAGAGGGGACGGAACAGCAGGCAGGGCCTCCCCACACGGAGGCATACGGGGAGGGCAGGAGGCAGCGAAGCCCGCAGCTGGGGATGGATGGGAGCCTTCATCGTGTTTCTGTGGAGGCAGCGGCAAGCAGGGTGAGCAGGCTTAAGGCCCGCAGGGCTGAGTGACTTCATGGGCCCCGGGATATGTGGCCCCAAGCAGCCTGGGACCTGACCCTGGGGGAGCAGGGCAGGTGGACAGTGCCTCAGAATGCGAGTCCCCAACAGAGGAGGTGGTTGGTTTGTATTTGAAAAGTGGGCCCTGGGCGAGTTCCCTGGTGGTCCAGTGGTTAGGACACAGTGGACTCACTGCCAAGGGCCCGGGTTCGATCCCTGGTCCGGGAACTAAGATCCCACAAGCCGAGTGACTTGAAAAAAAAAAACAAAAAACAAAATTGGGCACTAGAAGGACTCCTCCTGGGGGCAGGAGGCCAAGTCAAGGTGACTCAGAACAGGGGGTGTCTTGCATATGTAAAGCACCAAGTTTACAGAAGGTAGAAACAGCATCCATAAAAGGCTCAGCTCAAATGTCACCTTCTCAGAGGAGCCTTCCCTGCCTACACAGTCTACAGGGACAGGCTCCCCAGTCCTTGCCTGCTTCACTCCTGCACAGCATTCAGGGCCGGCCCCGTGCTGCGCACCCAGCCATAGCTCCCACCACCAGAGGAAAAGTCCTCACAGGGGCCACAGGCCCTGCACGACCTGGGCCCCCAACTCTCCCATCTCCTCTCCCACCACTGTCCCCCCTCAGCCCTCTCCCCCACACCCTGCACTCCTGACTTCACCAAGCCCTGCGTGTCCTCACAGCACATGTCCTTCTAACAGGTCGTGTGCTCACTGTGCATCTCGTTCAGTGCCAGGCCTGCCATCCAAGTCAGTGCTAGGCACACAGGAGGCTCAGTAAGTAGTGAGTCAATGACTCTTACCATCGCTGCCTGGAACGTTCTTATCCATGACCTCAGCATCCACACACCCAGTGCACTTTCACTGAGCCCCTACTGTGCACTGGGCAGGCTCCAGACACTGGGAACAGTGGGGAGTGAAGCAGGCGGGTCTCCATTCTCACGCAGCAAACAGCCTGGGGTGGCGGGGAGACAGAAAAATAAGTAAAATACATGGAAAGTCAGGCGGTGATATGTTCCATGGAGAAAAATACCCAAGGTCACACAGCAGGGTCTTAGTGAGTTTTCCTGGGGGGCCTGTTACCAGTTCTCCATTACAGTTGAGGATACTGAGGCACAGAGAAGGAGCAGGGGTGCCCTGCTGTCACCCAGGACCCACAGCCAGTGTCCTTGCTGTCAGCTCTATGCTGCCAGCAGGGCTGCAAGCCCGGAATGGATGTGGAAATCAGTTCATGGCAGCATTATTTACAATAATCAAGATATGGATGTAACTGAGAAGGACCCTATGGGACAGACCCCTCCCCCATATCCCCTGCTGTAGCTCCTCTCTGAAGTAGCCAGATAATAGTATCTCATGCATTTTCCTGAGTTTTTCAGATGCTAAAATCCCCCACCAAGTGGAAAAAGTTAACTACTTGATCATGAGCTTCCAGACCTACTGGCGCCCACCTAAGGACTGATAAAGTTAACCCCTGTAACATCACCATCAACCAATCAGATAACTGTGCACAAGCTGATCACACACCTGAGACCATCTCCTCCCTCATCTGGCCTTTAAAAATGATTTGCTGAAACACTCCGGGGAGTTTGTAGTTTGGAGGCCACCCATCTCCTTGCTGCCCCTGCAATAACTTTCTCTGCTCCAAACTCTGGTGGTTCAGTTTGTTTGGCCTCACTCTGCACTGGGCACATGAACTTGTGTTCAGTAACATGGAAACAACCTATGTGTCCATCGACAGAAGAATGGATAAAGGAAATGCGATGTATATGTTATATGCATATATACATATATAATGGAATCTTAGCCATGAAAAAGAAGGAAATCTTGTCATTTGCAACAACATGGATGGACATTGAGGGTGTTATGCTCAGTGAAATAAGTCAGAGGGAGACAGATACTTACTACCTCACTTACATGTGGAATCGAAGACATAAACTGAACTCATGGAAACAGAAAACAAGGTGGTGATTACCAGAGGCGGGGTGTTGAGGGGATCGGGTGAAATAGGTGAAGATGGTCAAAAGGTACAAACTTCCAGCTGTGAGATACACAAGCCCTGGGCATGTATGTACAGCATGGTGACTGCAGTTAACACTGTGCTGTGTATGTGAAAGTTGCTCAGAGAGTAGATCTTCAAAGTTCTCCTCACAAGAAAATCTGTAGCTGTGTGCGGTGATGGATGGTAACTAAACTTACTGTGGGTGATCACTTCACAATATGTACATGTATCAAACCATGACGCTGGACGCCTAAAACCAATAGTGTTATGTGACCATCATATCCAATAATCTGCATCTCAGTAAGCAGGGGTGGGAGCATGGATGACCTACTGCCGAAGCTGCGTTTGCTCTACAACAGCAGAGAGTGGTAGTTGTGACAGAGGCCGCAGGTCTCTTAAAGCCTAAAACAGCCCTTTATGGGAAAAGTCTGCAGACTCTGCCCCAGAATACAGGGGTCATAACAGCGTGCCTGGGTGCATGCTCGGCCCAGCCAGCCCCTGTGCTCTACCTGTCACCCCATTTAAACCCCTCCCCACCCTGAGAGGGAGAGACTTCAATACTCCCATTTTACAGATGAGAAAACGGAGGCTCGTTTTGCTTTTATAACTAAGTGGTGGAGCCAGCTTTGAACCCTAGTGTTCTGATTTCAAAGCCACATCTCAACCCCAATTTCTAGAAGGTGGGGATCCAGGCACTGGGGACCCTCCCTCTTCCACACTTAGAGTCGTGTTCCAGGGCCCACCACCCCAGAGGCTGCTGGATGAACACACTTAATCCACTTATTCTGCACACGCTCAGCCCCTGGCTGCTGTTCTGCTGCTGCTGACACTTCAGTTGGCTGAGATTTTACAGGTGACTTATCACCACCTGCCCACTCGCCCTGCCACGTGGGGCAGCCATTCCTCGCCTTATTATTCTAAATCCTTCGCTCACAAATCTGCAGAACGGCATTAAAAGAGCCATGCTCACCTGTGTGGAGGCCTTGACAAGGGGAAGGGAGGGGGAGTTTGGGGTGTCGTCTTATACTGAAGGGACAGGAAAGGGACAGTATTTATGTCCATAATGGGACTCACTTTGAGGTTAAGAACTTAGGACTAAAGAGAAATAAAAGCTGCCAGGCTGAGGGCTACAAGGCTGCTGAGAAAGGGGGTTGACTACTGTATGGGATTGCAAATGTGTAATTTAATTTTAAAAAACCATCAGCCCCCTGAATGACAACAAACTTGCCCTTTAAGGCTGGAATTGGTCCCCTGACCCCGGGTCTCCCCTCAATTCCAGGATGAGATTGTCTGAGCACTGAGGGTCCTTAATTGGGGGGTACTGGCCTCTCAGTCATGGGCACACCTGCCCATGTGTGCTCCTGTGGGCTGCGGTCCCCACGGGTCAGGGCACTACTGATGCAGACGTGGGAGGCTCAGGTCATAAGGAAGGAATGATATATCTGTGGGGTCTCTTGTGTGCCCTCTGCAGGAGGGAGCATCATACAGAGAAGAGCCCTCCCTCCCCAACCCCCAGTTCCAGGGCTGGGGTGAGCACAGCTCTGAACCCCTCGGTTTAGCCAGCATCCTGGATGGGGGTAGGGAGGCTGCCCCACTCTGAAGTCATAAAGGGGATGATTGATTGGGATCCCACCCACACACACACCCAACTCACAGCGAGCCCCTCACCCATGCCCAGCCTCTGTTTTCCCCTCTGTAAACTGGAACCCAGTCACCTTCACCCTCAGACGTGGGGGCACCCTGTGTTAATTACAACCCAAAGTGCTGGGTTGTTTCAGGCGCCCTGGGGTGTGCAGGCCCGAGGCCAGGCAGGGGGCAGGTGGGAGAGGAGAGGTGTGGGTGTAGCAGGTGTGACAACAGAGCTATCTAAGAACCGGCTGAGAGTGGGTGGTCTAACATCCAGAAACAGGCGGTTGCCACTAGCAAACCCATTCATTAAGACCACGTTTACTCCCTCTTGTCAGTTACAATTGTCTGTTTGAACAGAGGCCTCTGGAGTTTATTAGCAACATTGCTGCCCACCACAGAATGGCTCTGCTCGGCTCCTAAGCACAGGGGCCTCTGTGCACTGCAATCTCCCATCTGCTCCTGCCCTCCCTCTCTTACTCAGCACCTCCCAGCAGCTCCCTGTTGCCCAAGGCCTGCCCCGCTCCAGGGCTCCAGGTGTAAAAGGTCATACAAGGCCCTGCCCACCTTCCCCACCTGAGCTGTGTTCCTGCAGCAAGGAACCACCAGTGATTCAAGCCCCCAGGTCGTCCTCTGCACCTCTGCCTGTGCTTCTCTTCCTGCTCTCCTGTTGCCTTTCCTTCGAGCCCTCAGCTCCCACGTCATTTCCCCTTTATGGCAGGACGGTGTTCGTTGCTCACCCAGAGGCTTTTCCCAGCCCACCCTGCCTTCTTCCTGTGGATGCTCACTGAGGAGGAATCACGGTCATTCCAACTCTGTTATGGCAACTGATTCTCCTACTAGTGATTGGTCAGGACAAGGACTTGTGACAAAGTTCTGGCCAGTGAGATCCTAGAAGAAGTCTACAGGGGCTTTTGTGAGA